AATTAAGTATTGTTTTCGTGACTACCAGTAAATCAGTAATATGAGATGTATTCACCCAATTTCGTTTGAGCTGATGAAGGACTGGTATAATATGAATTTTCCCACAATTATATGAGTTGAGCTGACATTTCCATTGAATTTCACATAGCCTTGCTTTGCCAAAAGTTGTTCTCATCCAGGCACCAGTGGACTGCAGTTTCGACCTCGCATCGGTCCACGTCGGATGAGAACAACTTGTGTGACAGCAAGGCTATGTGAAATTCAATGGAAACGTAAGCTCTCTTCTTAGCATTATGGGAAAATTTACTGCCAGTCTGTCCCCACCCCAATCGTAATTAGTTGAGCATATATTATATCTCGGATTGCTCAACACCTACTTCGTGACTACAACGCGAATTAGCCGTCGGCTTTTGGTAAGATAGATCTCCGAATCACTTCTTCATGCATTTTCATACAAAATGAATGCATCCGCAACAGAGTCTTTATTCCCTCCACTTCTTCGGTTTCAAGTGCGGCCATTTCACGAATGCCTTCCAGACAACTTTCGATTGTGCCCCGTCTTGAGTGCATCTTCTATCTCTTCCCTTCCAGACGTGAATATCTCCATTTGGCCAGTCGATGCCGCATGCTTTCCGGTGAACATCTGACCCGAGCCAGCTGCGATTGTTTCTGGCTCCATTTTGACTCGCATTCGCGACGCCGCCTCCCAGAACCCGTCCACAAATCGCCGGACGAAGGCGGACAGCAACCGTCGACGGAGGCCGACTTCGACCGGCCTCCGGAGCCGCGAGAGGAGGAGACCAACTCGGAGCGATCACGTCGTTGCCACGACAACATGAAATGGCAATCGTGTAGGTGTTCCGGCGGCCTGGACAATTTCAGGCCGCATGGAAGTGGCTCCAGAAACATGCAGAAAAGGATCTGGCCAGACGGTAGAGAACAGGCCAGGTGTGAAGGAGGGGACTCGATGAAGACGAAGAAGAGCGAGACGGCAGCATGGCGTTGGGGCACATGTGAAGGAGAGAGAGACTGGGAGGCCGGCCAGCATTGGTCGAACAGGAGGGAAGAGGAGAGCGACTACCTCCCGCCGACGCTGTGCTACGCCCTTACGCATCTGCTGGACGATACCTTTCTGGCTCCAACCAGGGCCTGGGCCTATCGGACACTATCTCGAACACCAAACTTCGCTATCCTCTCCGCCTCTTCCTCCTCCTCCTCCTCCTCCCTTAAGCTCTGCTCTCAACACACTCGTACACACACCTCCACTCATCCACTCGTCCACGACTGGCCCCCCAGCCCGGTCGGCGACACAAGTGTTGTAATCTGTGCGCAAACTCTCTTAATTGTCGTCATGACAACCACTGGGCTTTCGGAAGCCGATCTCCTGCGAGCAGTGAATTGGTTGCTAGCCAGTCCGCTCTACTGCACTGCCAACACTATCACAGACGAGATGTATGAAGACTGTCAACAAGCCCGTCTCAGAGCACCAAGCTCTCCTACTACACTGCAGTGGACCGATGCCATGCGACGTCTAGGTAATTGTGCATATATGCATGGGTGTGTATGCATCTAAGTATGTATAGGTATGTATGTATGCATGTTTGTATGATTGTTAGTGTATGCAGATATGCATTTGTGTATACATGTGTGCATGCATGTATGTATACATGTGTATGTATGCTCGTATGTATGCCTACATGTCCTAATGCCAAAATGAAATGATAGGGAAAAGGAATTTCGCCAAACTATGAAAATGGCACTTTTTTTCGCGAATGGGTAGCTTTTAGAGACTACCAGTACATCAGATATGTGGGATGTGTTCACCCTATTTCGTTGACGGTGATGAAGGACTGGTAGTAGAATTTTGCCACAATGATATGAATAGAGCTGACGTTTCCAATGAATTTCATAGAGCCTTGCTTTCCCAAAAGATGTTCTCATCCAGGCACCAGTTGACTGCAGGTTGTTAACACCCCCAGCGGGAATCGAACCGCGACAGTGCAGCATGTAAGCCTGACACGTTAACTACTCGTACATCTCATATAACTGATTTACTAGTAGCCCCAAAACTCTACTTAAATACGAAAAATAAGTAATGTAGTCGATTGTTTTAGCAAAAATACGTTTGCTTCATCGACAATCCCACCAAAGAATGTGATATGGGAATAGGCCTGGCCTTCCTTGAAATTCACATCTGCCCTGTGGCCCAAGGGCAGTCGTGGCAATATGGCCGAGTGGTGAACGTGTCAAGCTGATATTCTGCACTATCACTGTTGATAAGACTTATGCGAGGTCGAAACTGCAGTCCACTGGTTCCTGGATGATTACATCTTTTGGGAAAATAATAATCTGTGAAATTCAATGGAAACTTCCGCTCTACTCATATTATTATGGGAAATTTCTACTACCAGTCATTCATCACCTTAACAGAAGTAGGGTGAATACATTTCATATTACTGATTCATACAAAAAGTAGTATAGCTTAATATGAAATTCCCTGCCGTGCAGGCCATTTTTAAATATCCATAACTTCGTATGCTAACTTATTGCATTCATCCTATTTGGAATCCTCTTTTTTAGTGAAGATTTAATTTAATTGTACATCTATTTACAAATAGAATCAGAAGATCTATTTCCAGGCAATCAAAACATCTCAGCTAGCTTAAAGTGAATACAGGACAGACATTTGAGCTAACGACAATGAGGTAGGAAGGCTTAATGAAAATTAAGTTTCACTCTTCTCATTTCTGTTTGATGTCCTTAATTATTCAGTACCAAGTAAACAAGTAGGAGGGACAACTCACAGATAAGGAAGCTTTGTTTTTCGTCTCCCTCAGCCTCTTCTAAATGTCTGCAACAGTGCTTGATGTACATTGCGACCCTTCAAGTAGTGAAGGGTAAAAAACCACGTTGGAAATGCAGGCTTAAGTGAGGCAGAGTACAACAGAATGGACTTCTCATTTGATCTGAGATCGCTCATCTGTGTCAGGTTAAATCTTGCATCCGGCAAAAACCATTCCGTTAGGATATGGACTGCCCCCGGGTGCTGCATACAGAAGGCGAGTTTGAGGCGGCCAGATCACATAACATTTCACATAGTCTTGCATCACACAAAGTTGTCTTGTCCAATATAAACTGTGTTTTTGGCCTCATCAAAATCTCATTAGCGTCCACAAAAAGGCCTCATTCAAATCACATTTTTATAGTGGGATTTTCGGTAGTTGCAAACTTGTATTCAGACGACAATAAACGATATCACTTATTTTCTATATGAGTATGTTCCACAGCTTAATCGCAGACAAAGTTTAGTAACGGTATGCGTATTTGCAGTGACTGACCGAATTGTCTAAAGCCCTATAATTTGCATAGTCTTATGGGGTTTACTATTCACATTGAACGTGGCCACTTGTTATCTATCACAATGGTGCAAATTTTACACATCTCTTGCCCATCTGAAGACACTTATTTAAGGCTTACGCATTGCGTGATCACTTCTTATCCTTCCACCTCTCGACCCTTCCTATTTCAGAAATCTTGACAATCCAGAAGCCTTCGGCAGGAAACTCGCTTTTACTGATACTTTGTCCGGAGCTGAATCCCGCGAAATTGGCAATTTTGAGGCACCTCTACTCGACGCTGAGCAAGGAGACCAATTTAGTTGGCATACAATTCGGTTGTTTTCTGACCAAAATTCACAAACTATTATCCACATTTTTCCTCTATCAAGTTTTTGCCTCGATAAAAGACGCAAAAGGATGGCAATTAAAAGACACTTCAGGTAAAGCTTATGGTTCTAATGCGTTTTTATTCTCCAGGAGAATGTATAAAGGCCAGCCAGACTTCTCAATCCAGATGGCAAATCGTAAACATGACACAGGAAGCATATGATGAGGGCTATCAAAACAGGGGTCCGAAAACTGAAGAAATCTTTGGGAACGAAGAAGATGCTGGAAAAAGGACCTATTCCTGTCGGTCAAGTTTGCAGTTGCACCAATTGCTTATAAATTTCGTGATGGATACGATGGGATGGAGGAGTCATTCGGTGGAGGAGTATGAGTCAGCAAAAAAACATCTAAACAGTGTAAGCAACAAAAGGAGTTTCAGAGACAATTTTTCAGAGTTAGGCAAGCTTTTTATTTTATAGGCCTAACAAATTTAGTAATAAGTGCCATATAGAGGTCCAAGGATGTCATGTAGGCTTGTGATAAATTCGTTTCCTA